ATAGCAATATTCAAGATTGATTTAAGCATAAAGATTTCCCCTTCAACTGATTTCAAGAACCAATGAAATGCTTTTTCTTCATCTTTTGTGGTTCCAATTCCATTTGAGTAACAATATCCAAGATTATTCTGTCCGATATCATTCTTTTCATCATTTGTGGTTCCAATCTCATTTTCATAACAATATCCAAGATTTAGTCGTTCATCATTTCTTCCTCCTTCAACTGATTTCAAATACCAATGGAATGCTTTCTTTTATCTTTTGTGGTTCCAAATTTATTTCCATATCAATATCCAAGATTATTCTGTACATCACTATCTCCTCCTTCAGCTGATTTTAAATACCACATAAATGCTTCTCTTCATCTTTTGTGGTTCCAATTCCATTTTCGTAACAATATCCAAGATTAAATTGCCATTACACTTCCCCCTTCAGCTGATTTCAAGTACCACTGAAATTTCTCTTTATATTTGGTTGTTTCAATTTCATTGTGGCATATGGTTTCCATTTGTGTATAGATTTTTCTTTCAAAAACTTAATAAAGTATCAAAGTTTTATTTTTTTTTTATTAAAAATTTTTAATTTTAAAAATGTCATAAGTAGGAATTCACTATGTGCATTATAATTGCATATAAAGATATGAAACCTATAAATAATACTACTGTTGCTAAATAGATTTCAGTGCATTCTAGAATTTGTAACAAATGACTTAAAACTGGTCACATTAACATTAGAATGTTCTTTAAGATTTCTCCATGCATAATTGATCTGACATGATGCATAATGCATTGAACAATTAAATTTCTTTCTCGTGATCGTGACGATTAGAATATTCTTTAAGAATTTACATTATGTTCTACAAATTTACAAATTTGTAAATTAAACGCTGATCGCTTTCTCATTGATTTTTTTGTTATTAGAATTAGATATTTTTTTATGTTATTAGAATTAGATATTTTTGGATAGGTCGCATAAATAGTAAATAAATAAATTTTATTTTTACATTGAAAAATTTAAGCCTATGTTAATACGAAACTTATTTATATCCATCCATTATGGAACCTAAAACTTATAGAACAATCGGGATTCCTATGAAATTTACCATGAAGAAAGAAAATAATAAAAGCAAAGGAACTTGATAAACCTAAAAAAAATCGAAGAAAAATTGGTGCTATATAAATTAGAAAAGATTTGTTTGCTTTGTTTTTTAAATAATGTAACTAGAAGCAGTAGTAATATTGTGTCAAAGTAAATTGGTAATTATACGAATTACCATGGAGGATGATAAATGGTAATACAAAGATGATTGTGCAATCACCTGGGATAATAACCAGTGTTGTAATCCAAAAGATATCAGTTAAGGATGAAGGATGAAGTACGAAGGATGACGGATAAAAATTGAATGAAGGTGAAAAGGTATAAAAGAAGTAGTATTCTCTCTCAGAGTCTTAGTAGTTATAGTAGTACCTTTGACTTCAGTTAATTAATAATTACGCATAGTTTCGAACATTAGTATTATTAGATATAAAAGTAAACTTCCTTTAGGGATGGCAAAATAGACATGCTACCCACTGTAATATTCCTGTTGTTAAATGACACTTAAGTTTATTAAAATATAAGGGTACAAATTTAAAAGTAATCTTTTGTGTCATGATATTGTGAAATATTGTTAAATATTATTTGATACTGTGTTAACACTTTTACTCCAACTTACTCACTGAGCCTTCAGATTAAAAATAAAGAATTAAAGAGAATTATATATATTATATTTATTATCTGTTTCAAGATAGGAAAGTTTAGATCAACTGATTGCTTGACCTACTGACAGATAGAGAATATTTATAAAAGTAGTTTGTGAAAGACAAACTTTGAGACTGATAGGTAAAAGTGTTTGAAATACTCTGCACATTTGTGACAATATTACCATTGTTACTGATATTACTAAAAGATTCTTACTGAAAATAATTAAATTAATAAATTTGATTTGCAGATAAAAAATTATTAATCAACCATCATAAAAATCAGCCATTACAAATTGATTAAGTTTCTTTCTATGAAATTCATATGAGAAGTGTGAGAAGATCATCTTAGCACTTGTTTATTTTTCATAATAAATAAAACAAGTATAATTATAAACAGAAGACTGCATAATGTAAAAATTGATGACAAATAATATAATTTCTTTTTTTAAAATGATTGTAATTTATAAAAAACTGTAAAAAAATGAATTTTGCAAGTTTTAATTTAGTAAGTTTTATGTTATCATCTGAAAATGATTTTTAGGCAAATAACACTTTGACTTTATCCATTCGTGCACTCACTTACATATGCTAAAAATTTATTTATTTAGATGAAAATGTATATCAATATTATAAAAACGGCAACAGTAGACATTTCACAAGAATGACGGAAAATTATTTCATAATTTTTGAAAAATATTGTATCGTTCGTCAACAACTTGATTTGTGAGGGATTTATACAAAATGGTTTACAAGATATAATTTAGCAAAATAGAGAAGTGATTTTATGCATGCGAAGGTATTGATACTAAAGAGAGAAGAATTTACATTGGGGCACATTCTTTAAAAAGCATTTTCAAAGTATTCACACAATTATGGGCAAAAAGTTTATTATAGAATATAATAAGAATTTGGTTGAAGTTGTATATATGAATGATTAGCCATTCATCATGTTCTTGGTTCACTAGCAAGATAGGATTTTTTTCCATGAATGGTATTGGGATTGTTACTGATAACCAAATGGCAATTAAAATCTTCAGTATAGCTGCCCCATACTTAATGAAACTATTCAATATCAACAAAGAAGTTGGAACCATATCTCTTACAAAAATGCTAAATTTCATAAGCGTTGGAAAGGATAAGAAAAAGACATATGTCTATTCTAAACTTGTCAATGAAGGTTCCTTTATAGCTTTAACTGAAGTGGCGTATTGTTATCAAAATGGGTGTGTCAAAAAAAAAAAATCATAAAAAACATTTTAAATTATATTTAAAATCTGCAGAGAAAGGAGTTCTTATAGCACGAAATATAGTTGGTGGGCGTTATAAACGTGGAATTGGAACAACAAAAGATGTAGATAAAGGATTTCAACAGAATAAGAAATCTGCTCTTGTTGGTAAAATTAGTTAAATATGTAATACTGGATGCTGTCATGATAAAGGTATAGATGTGGATAAAGATGTAAAAAAAAATTTAAATTGTTTGTAAAGGCGGCTGAAACAGGAAGAACTGCAGCTCACTATAATTTAGGAAATAATTATGCAAATGGTTATGGAGTTAATAAGGATCAAGCGAAATCATTAAAAAAATTCTCAAAATTTAAGGAAAAAAATGGATTAAAAATGAAACTATCTACGTGAGATTTCTTGGATATTTCTTATCTACAGATTCATCTGAAAATTAAAACATCGAATTCTACTCCCAATCGTTTCTAGAATAAATATAAAATTACAATATTGCTTTCCACAAGTCAAAAAATGAAAGAATGTGTAATATCATTAAAAAAATTCAATCAAATTCTTAATAAAAAATTCATCTTCTGCTGACTAATCAACTAAGTGAAAATCTGAATGAACTTCTAGTTCTTCATTTTGTCTTAATAAAGAGAATTTTATAGTCAATAAATACTTTCTAGGATTCGAAAACATAAAAATATAAAAAATGTAACTTACACATTTAGCTTTTCCAATTTAACAGAAATAATTTCATCTGTAACATTGTGGGGTTGTGATTGAGAGGTTTCATTTTCAAAACTTTCATCAGAGATATTGATTTCAAAAAGATTTTTAAATACTTGAGAAATGTCTGGAAATCTAAAATTATTCAACTATTCGCTTGAGTAAAAAAAAAAAAAATACTGAATATCGCGTGCGGTCTAATTCGATACGATATCATTTAAATTAATAATAATTGAAAAATTTTATTAATATTTAAGAAATTTGGGAGGAAATAATTTTTTTTGGCATTTCAAAAAATAATTCTTCGATAATCTAATTAGACAAATAATTAAAACATGAAAGTAAGGAGATATTCATGTGTTCATCAAATATATTATATATTAATCAATTATTCTCATTCGGCGCTTTATATCCCCAAGAAAATAATTGATAATAATTATTCATGAATTTAATTTCAAGAACAAATGAATAATAATAATCAATTTAATGTTATTCAAATAATCAAATAATCAAATTAATTGTGGACGAAATATCGAAAAAAATTGAAATAATTAAATAAAATAATAAAATAATTCAAATAATTCAAAATGGATGAGGTGAAATGGGCGAATAAGAATAAATATCAATATATATATATATTCAAAATATTCAATAGAATAATTATTATTAGTTTTAATGAATATTCTAATAGAAATGTTTACTCTAATGATCACGGACATAATAATTCTAAAAATATAAAAGACAACAACATAACAACAATAACTATAACAACCCGGTGAGTAGTAACAATTTTCATTATTATTATTAACCGCAATAATTTTTAATGTTTTAATAATATTTTAACATATTTCAATTCGTGAAATTTAAGTTTTTATTTCTCAATATATCTAATTTAATTATTATTAGTATCATAAATTATTATTATTAATTATGATTTATTAAATTTTTAATTTAGATAAAGCAACAACAATTCACATTTATGCTCAAGATTCAGCGCCACAACAAGTCATCTAATATGACTGGATTGCACATTAATTATATTGTGAAACAAGTCAATAAAATTCAAGCGTCAAACTGGGGTCATATAGCTGTAGTTAAATTTTTATATTTGAAACGTTTGTTTATATTTTTAACATGAATTCATTACTTGTTACACATTACTCTCTCTCGATGCTCTCTCTTAATTATCTTTAAAATATAAAGATTATTAAAATAATAATAAAAATTCTCACAAAATTGCGTTTTTAATAATAATATAATCGTCCGATTTTTCGAATCACTAAAATTTTTTCTTAAATACCACTATTTGGGATTATTTATGTTATTTAAAGTTTTTAATATTGTTTTTAAATTTTGGTCTAATTCATCAAATTTCGTTGAAAATTTCTTAAATTCATTTTCTAGGTTATTTAATTTTTCTTGCATTGATAATTGATTGTCAACGTTTGTCGAACCTGGATCTTTGGATAAAGATTCATTACTTGATTTATTGTAACTGGTTTTCTTTAATAATGTGTTGCTTGATTTCCAATTTCTCTGTGATTTCATGTTTGATTTAGAAGCAAATTTTGACAGAAAAGTTTCTTCATCCATAAATGAAATTTTATCAATATTAGATATTATTTCCATACTATTCGAAGAACCTTCATCTTGTGTATGTTGATATTTTTTTGAGTACAATGAATTATCTAAAATTTAAAATAAAATTTGATTTATGTTAGAATTGAAAACGTTTTTGCAAGAGAATTCACGTGCAACTCTTATTATCAGTTATCACCTTGATTGTCATCATCATCATCATAATCATCATCATCATCATCATCATCATCATAATCGCTATAATCAAAATCTGCCAATTCAGCACCCATATGACGTAATTCTTGTTTTTCCTCCTTTTCAGTTTCCTCAAGCCAAGTTTCAATCATATCAGGTTCAGGTATATAATAAATGTATCGAGGATTATCTCTTCTACTACCAAAATATTTTTCTAAAGCTTCATACTCAGCGACAGGTTCAGCACGATATCTATGAACCGCCGTAAGACCTGCTTCATTTGCCTTATCAAAAGCACCACTATATAATTAAGAGAAATCAAGAGAATTAAATTTATAAACCAAAAACTTTTTACAAATTTAGAAATTCTTTATAAAAATATACTTACTTCATAAATGCGATCAACATATTTTGGAAAATTAACACTAATATTATACTTCCCAATACACTCATTGCATTTATAGTATAACTACCCCATTGGTCTAATTGATCCCATCGTCCATTGAATACGGCTTCTATTGATGAAAATGGATTTGAAAAGTAATTATCAAGCCTGGAAGATTTATCAATATCCTGATAAATTGTTATATTTGAGTATAAATCAGAATTCGACGTGTCTTTAATTTTATAAGTAGGAATTTGTAATCCTAAATCATCCTGATTAGTCAGAATGAACCTGGAGATGATCATAATATCAAAATAATAAATTATAATAAATGTAAAAAATTGTAATAAAATAAATTAGTAATGTTTAAAATATTGAAAACAAAATTCATTATAATTATTATAATTATTATAATTACAAAGCGAGACCAAATGCAATTACGGCAATCAACATGAATGCAAAGAATGGCCAAATAGTAGTCGAAATGCTATAAATGATATAAATATAACTCCCTGGTCTTTCAAAATATCTCATTAGCAATATCTATAAATAAATAAAAATAATATTAATAGAATCGAAAATAATTAATAATTATAAAAATAATAAAAATAATAATAAATTACTAAAAAATTTATTTTGGCCGGAAAAAAGAGAAAGTGAGAATAAAAGAAGATTTACCAATTCAAGCCACAATACTAAAATTGTAAACGCTAAAACAGAGTTAAATGCAGAAGTATGCATTTGTTGATCAAATGAAATACCAACTATACTATCTGCTAACGGTAATAACACTGATCCTAGATCAAACAAATTATAAATATTCATATATCTACCCAATCCTTCTCTTATTAATTGCATAATTTCCGTAACAATCAAATACCATCCAGTATATATATATACAACGAGGTTAATTTTTAATATTGTATTTGATTCTATTTTGAATCCCGTAAATGAATACGAAACCATTATTATACCAAACGAAATAATATATAATAAATACGAAACGATCCGATAAATAAAATATTGACGGGCAGCTGACCATTTAAAATCCAATACTGCCATAATTGTAGGTGTCCGATAGATTTCATAACCATTCTCTTCATGAATAACACGAAGGAAAGGACTCATATCTTCAGTATTATTAATAACTTTTTTTCGTGGCCACAAAAATGTTAATAGAAACCAAAAATATTTTGAATAATTTTCAAAATTATCTTTAGGACCTTGGGAGTTGGGGTATACTGTAAAATCAGGCAATGGGACTATATAAACTTTACGATCACGACGTGAAGTTTGAAATTTATAATACAAACTTATTAAACTTTAAAGAAATAGACAATTAGTAAAAGATAAAAATTGAAATAACTACTCTTTATGATCTTTATGATTATAATTACCTTTCAAATGGATTTTTTAAGAGATACCATAGAATATTATGGAACTTTGATGCAAGGCAAGGTTTTACATCCAAAGAGTGTATCACATCTGCATTGTTTCCTTTCTTTTGATCATAAGGATTTATATGTAATGGTGAAGTATAAGCTTCAGTAATTCCAAAACATGATTTTTTGAATAAATATTGGACAAATTCCCCTTTTTGAAGAATTAAAAAAAAGAAATTTAATTCAATTTAAAAATGATTGATCAATTAAATAATTACTCCATCAATATGATTAATTATGTAGTAAAGATTTGACTCACCTAAATTGTTATCATATAATAAAGGTATTGCTTCACTTACAGTAAACATCCAACCATGATTATTATATTCTTTAGTATTATCAGCATAATAATCTATCAAATATTTTAAAATTAATGTAGAATCTTTTCTTTCTTTAATACATAAAATAGCATGATGTAAATCCGATTTTGATATTTCAGTTGTTGATCCTCCATCTCCATCTGGCCATTTATATAATCTCGGCATATATATATAACTATTTTTTATAATATTAAATCTATTATTTAAAATATGGTTTATTAAACTTTCTTGAGAACTTTTAATAAGATATTTCATAATTGGATATCTAATACTTGTTAATCTAAATATTCCATATTTTGGAATATATTTTCGTACTAATCTTTGTGTTTGTTCAACCAAATATTCAATTCGACTGACATTCACGAAACTAATTACGGAGTCTTTCTTCTCACTTAATACATAAAGTGCTCGACATGCCCCTTCAAGAACATTTACATTATTTGGCCAATGTATCGTAACTGATTTCGGTGGTGTAGAAGGTATAGTGGAAGGCATTGAAACCTTTAACACAAATTCTCGTTCTCCAATTTGTAGTTCTTGAACATCGATCTCTTTTTTTCGAGCCCAGATATATTCTAATACTCGATCACATTCATCTCGTTCTTCCATAGCATTATTATTATTACGATATTTCCATACTTGTATAGTGTTATGCGATATAATAAGTTGAGAGTTTTTATCACGATCCAAGTAAATTGATATTCGAAAATAATTTTTTTTTTTTTGCCATGGTTCAACATTATTTATAATTGCTAATTCTGATGTGTCAGATCTTTTCCCATCTATAGTATAAATTGCATGATTACTTGTAGTAATATCATCCGGAGATATCTTTTTAAATTTCTTCGAATCAAAATTAATCATTGCTTTTCCTGAAGTTGGTTTTCTAATTGAAGCCACATCTTTATGATCTAACATTGAAAAAATATCTCCTCTATCTCTAAGCGCAAACACATTTCCATGAGAATTCATTAATCTATATGCGACATCCATTTTCAAGGGATTCTCAGTTTCGGAATAATCAATTTGACGTACGGAATTTTTAAATGTGGTAAATAAATCCCATACTACAAATACTTGATGATTCTTGGAAATTTCACCACGATATCGATCTTCCTTTTCTTCAAGGACTATTAAAAGTTTACTATCATTATCAATAAAATTTATATCCGCAATTTTATAAATTCCTTTTTGACCTTCTAATCGTTTAGTAGAAATTTCTAAACCATTTTCAATTGAGTACAACGTAATATTTGTAGTTTCTCGACAAAATGCTAAAATCTTCTCATTTTGAGAGATGGAAAAGATAGGAGAACCAAGAATTATGTTGGGGACTGCCGAATATTCATGACGTTTAAACAACATCTTTAGATCCCCAGTAATTAAGCTATACATTTCAATGATTTGTTGTCGATTTTCTAAAGTATGCACCATAAAATAATTTTTAATAATACTCGTGTGTAAGAGTTCCAATGAATCTTTCCAATCACGTGAAAGACGATTTGAAAGTTGTTGGGGTAATTCGAATTGTTTAATCTTTGATAATTGCGAGAAAAATCCTTGTTTTTTTTTTTTATTATTAATAGCTTCTTTGAAAATTCCCGAAGCATTAACTATAATGATCACTGTTTCGTTTTTTAACGATTTATCACTATCCTCACTATTGTCATCACTATTAAGAAATCTTACAACACCAACAATTGGGGAAGTATATATTTCACTTCCATCCGTAGCAGAGATAACCCGTGTTTGAGGAACATATTTACGACCGGATTCTAAGTCACTTTCGTTATCAACATGTTGGTTATTAACTTTATCACCAGAGTCTAAGTTATTTTTGTCATCACGATGCAGGAATCTTCTTGCATCAAAACAAGAGAATGCGATAAGACGTTCGTTTTTATCATTGTGTACACAATTAGATATTGCTATAGACCAACGAAGAAGTTTACCCTTAACATCTGATTCAGACCAATGAAGGCGTTTACTTTTAAGAGGATAAATGTTTTTCTCGTAAATTTGTTTAGGAGAAATAGTTCTACTCAAACTTAAATCATCAATACTATATAACGTAAAATCTTGCTTCTCTATTATTTTAATTATTTTATGAATGATTAAAGATTTGTTAAAAAATTATTTAAAGAAATAATCGGCATAATAATTAACTTTACCGGGTCTAAAAATAACAATTTGTTTACTGTCTGGACTTATTGCTATGCAACTATCGAAACTTGTTGATAACAAAATTTCCTCGGGTAAATCGTTTTCTTTAATTTCCGCAATTTGTTCGGTTTCATTAATATAACTTGAATGATATTCATTCGCCATGCTTTGAGAATATGACAATTCAATGGAATAAATTTATATTCACTTTATATAATATTTTTATGCAATGATATACGTATATATATGGATCAATGATATCAAAAAAAAAAACCTAAACCTTATTGTAAAAGATTCTTTTACTTACTAAAAATGTCATTGGTATGCACTGAATTCATTCAAGTCCTACATTCATTATTTCTTTTTCCAGTAATTTGTACAATATATGGAAATTCAAGTAAACATAAATTGTGCTCCGTGCGTAACAAACATTTTATTTAAGTAATAATAATTCTCAATTCTAATTGGGCATTTAATAATTAAGACCAATAAGAATCTGATATAGTAAATATACTTAATTGTCTGGAGCGATATTATATTTCTGCGCATAATGAAAATTGATCATCTTGTCACAACATGCGATTTTCATCCAACAATATAGCGTCACGTTACAGCTTTTATAATGCTGCTGTTAAAAAAAAGTCATTTTGCTTATTGAACCTTTCATCAATATTTTTTTTTGTAAAAAGGGTCCATAGCTATAGCGCCGAGTGCTTGCATCAAGCCTAAAAGTTACGAGATGCACTTCGCACTTCGCGGTACGATCAATTTTGACAATCACGACATTTCGTTTTTTTTTAAAAAAAAAATAAATAGTAAAAAAAAAATTATTTTTAGTGCTGGTATCTTTATTGTTTAAAAAAACGTTAAACAGAAGATCGAAATAATAAATTTATAATGTTGCATCTTGAATGACCGTTGGTATTTTTAGATATGACTGATTTATTATTATTTATTATTTTATTTAAACAGCAATTTTTAGTGAGATCGGCACCAAATTACTTATCATTTTTAATGCCAAAATTAGTATCACAGATTTACCAATTCATGTGATAAGTTAGATACAGTAAAACGAACAAGAACAAAAAAAATATCAGTCAACTTGACAAAAAATATGTTTTTTGTAGCAGCTATAGATTTGGACTACATATATAAAAATAAACGGTAGTGCCGTTCTTTCACGGATCACGACATGACAATAATAAATTCATCAATACTATTTAGGATTGAGTTGCACCATTATCTCTTTGTTTAAATCACCTCCTACTTCCCCCTATATAATTTAAATCAGGAATTTTTCTTTCGTTTTTTCTTTCTTGGGGGATATAAGACCAATATAATTGACAATTATTAATATTAATCAAATAATCAAATAATCAAATAATTAATTGCGTCTTCGAAATCTCGAAGTAACTGAAATAGTTAAAATAAAATAATCGAAATAATTAAATAATTAAAATTATTCAAAATAAATACACTGGGTGAGTTAAAATCAAATATTAAATATATATATACAGTGACGGTAAAAGTATTTCATCACTATTGATTATAATTTGTAGCCAACATTTAAATGACAATAATATAAATGGTTTATTAATTATAAAGTAAAGGGTTTCATCCCTTGTTTAATAGTATTATATTATAGAAATAATCTAATTTATAAAACATAATGAGTTTTCAACTTTTTATTCAAAATAATTAAAAATAAATAGTATTCAAAATTTGGTTCCAGTTCTACACAAAAAAGTGGTATTATTTCAATATTTCAAAAATAAAATAGATTGGATCGCTGGTTATAGAGAAATTCGGGTTCAAATTTTGGATCACCTTTTAAATCATTTAAAGATTTTTTTTTTATAACCAGCAACTCAACCTGCTTGATTTTAAATATTTCCAACTTTTTTATATAAAATCAAATTCAGAAATTTTATTTCTTTTTTAATTATTCTGAATAAAAAGTTGAAAATTAATTTTTCTTTTATAAATTAAACGATTTCTACAATATAATATTATTAAACAAGAGATGAAACTCATTGCTTAAGCTCTTCCAGACTTGGCTTTATAATAAATATAAATTTATTATTATCATTTAAATGTGTGCCACAAATTATAATCAAAAGTGATGAAATACTTTTGACCGCCACTGTATTTTTTCGAAATATTCAGTTGAATCATTATTATTTCTAGGTTTACAATTCGATTAATGAATAGTCTAATGGTTATCATTCAAACGGTTACTCCAACGATCACGGGCATAATATCAAGAGAAGGTGGCGAGAATAAAAATCTAAAAGACGACGACGTAATAATAACATATACAACCCGGTGGTGAGTACCAATTTTCATCATTATTATCAACAGCAATATATAATTTCAATGAATATAAAGAATCATTAGAAGTAGGAATAAAATAAAGGAAAAATTTATATTCCGCTGGAAATTATTTTTAAAGTATAAGTTTGATGAATACACCATTTTATTTTGTATATTATATTGTCGAGGTCTGCGCAGAAAGTTACGCAAATCAGTCTCAATAAGTTTAGGATAATCACACGATAATTCAATTTATCACTAACACACTTCTCTTGTGCGCAATATCACGAAACACAGTAAGATCAGGCAATCAGTCGATCTAAACCTGATCACTAACACTCTCAAACAATGCAATTACGTGTAATATCTGAAGGTACGATGAGCAAGTGGAGTATTTATTACTGCTTGCACACTAACAAACTGAAATAGACTTTTTAATGCAACTTTGCCAAGAAATACGAAATAGTTTATTAAATTTATTAAAATAGCAATATATTACTGCTTTGGCGTATCTTATCACTTTGCTACTAAATTAATTATTAAAATTATTACAGAAATACAACAATAGAGATATATTACTGCGTTGGCATATCTTATCTCTATTCTATACGAAATTATTTTATTATTATTAAAAAGTATTACGAATGAAAAGTAAAAATAAAACTAAATTAAAATATTCAAAATATTTAAAACTAAAATTAAAATTGTTCGAAATATCAAGTAAAATATTTTTATTTTGGTTCTTGTTTTTTTTTTGGCGAAAAAGGAATCGCTCTTTCTTCTTCCTTTTCGCAGCTATTTTTATATCTTCCCATTATTTACTTTCATCCACCATCATCCATAAACACG